CATGGGAGAACCAAAATTACTGCCGAAATCATAGCTGATTTATTATTACCTTGTGTCAAGAAGAAGATTCCCAAAGTGTGTTTTTTTATGGTTGTTTGTTTGTTTGTTTGTTTTGTCTGAAAAAGACAACTAAGGGCACCATCATACTTTCCAAAAGTCCTGAAAAGTGCCCTGGTGTTCTAGTCCATATTTCTGTTAAAAATTTCCACATACTTCCTCATTCTCCTCCGATGAAACAGCTTCTACGGTAATGTAAGAATTCCCAGTTTTTCATTTACTTGCCCAAGGACGCACATGTCAGGGACCACACCGACAAAGACCTTCCCAGGGAAATGCACTGAACATTCTGGAAACCAGGCCTGCTGCGGAAGCACTCGTCAGGAGTGGGTGACAGGTGGTTCCGCGGACACAACACCCAGTGGCATGAAAGGCTCAAGACTCGGCGCATGCACGTGTACTATCAGGGCCAGGGCGATAAAGAAGACCAGCTTGAAAAGCTGTATTTCATACAAGACACGAACGGAGCAAGCCAAGGCGAATTTGCGAATGCTCTGCAGGACCTCTGCACTCCCAAGAGCGCGAGGGCATGAAAAAAAGAGGAAAAAAAAAGGGAAAAGAGGTAAGGCTTAGCTTTCCAAAAGACTCTTGGCTCTCTGACCAGACCGGAGGATTGGGTGATGCCGTCGGAAAAACCATGAAACTGGCCTTCGCGAGCCTAGAAGAGACTTGCTTGGTAGGGCGCCTCATTAGTATTACCAAAGAAGTCACACTTTTCACTTTGGGCCATAGCTGTGTGTGAATCTAAAATCTGAATTAGGCATCAAGCTCATTTAGAAGTTGCATACATTTCATTTTAATGAGGCACCTCGGTCTGCATTAAAATTCATGAGCCCCCCAGAACACCTTCTCTGGACCCTGCATTAGAGGGTAAGGAATGTATCTGACGAGTTAACTTCTCGACCACCTGAGCAGGGAAATTCATGTCTACGAACTGTACTTAGGCATCTCAGAAGTGTGCGGAAATTGAGTCATTTCGACTGGAGTAGATGCATACACTGTTTCTTCCAATGAGTGACCTCTGTGAGGACTTTTTTTTTTCCCTTTATAATTTATCAAGAAGTGTGCGGAAATTGAGTCATTTCGACTGGAGTAGATGCATACACTGTTTCTTCCAATGAGTGACCTCTGTGAGGACTTTTTTTTTTTTTCCCTTTAGAATTTATCAGTTTAGACCTCCACGTCCATAAAACAGACTAGCTTTTGCACATTCTTTCAAAAAGTCAAGAGGTTCACGCCTCCTAAACCACCTGGAAGCCAGGAGGAGGGGAAACAAGGTCACAGTCTTGATTTAAGATGCAATGCGTACATCAGTTCTATTTAGATCCCCATCGATCTGGAAGCCTTCTCAGCCTGGCTTCTTCTTAGCTGTGTGACCTTGGGCAACTAGCTTCACCTCTCTGAACTGCAGGGTGTTGTGTTTGTTTTTGTTTTTTTTTAGGTCAAATGCAAACACTTCCTCCTATCCTGGGTGGTTTTGAGATGAAGCAGTAATTAACATATGTAAATCAGGAGGGTCCCCAGTTTACATAAAGTATGCAGATAGGTTGACAGAGCAGCTTTCTGGAGGGTCTGAGGTTACAATGTAAGTTCTAGTGTTCCTTCTGCAGAGATCTGGGGTCCGGTGCAGTAAGGGTCACCAGCTCGCAAGGATGTGTGAACTGCTCAGATCTGAAGGGCAGTGCTTCTCCAACTTTCTGGCTGGCGGTATAAAATGCAGATTCTGGTTGGGCAGGTGCAGGGAGGGCCAAGGTGGGGTCAGTGCTTGTGCACTGCTGGGCAGCTCTTGGGTGAAGCCCGCTGGACTGGTCACTCGGAACAGAAGGCCACCTGGCAGGGTCTTTCCACGGCTGCCTTACTGACAGTGGGCCCAGGGTGGGTCCCTGCTCCTGGCATGGGGCTCTCTTGTCCCAGGCACAACGGTTAGGAGCAGCCCTGGCCTGGGTCCCATCAGATGCCAGAAACCTCATGCCACTTCCTCCAGCTGGGACACCCCAAGGCATGTCCCCCGACCTCCCGGCGGGCGGCATGGCCGGGCTGAGACCCCCCGCCACCTAGGACGGATGCTACAATCGAGGTGCACCCACGCAAGCAGGCGGCAGGTAGCCCCAGGGCGACGTTGCAAACGGGGAAACTGAGCCCGCGGTGGCAGCAGAGGGTACCGGGCAGGGCGAGGGCTGGGGAGGCCTGCGCGCGGCGCTGTCCCCACCCGGGGGTCCCCCGGGACCGTGCCCCACGTGCTCCGGCCCCACGCGCGGCCAGCCCACCGGAAGCGGGTGTGGGGCCGCGGACACGCCGCAGCCCCGCGCG